ACAAGTAGATCATAAAAACAGAAATAGTGAGTGTAGAAATAGATCTACACATATATGGTTATTTTTCCCCCAATAAATGATACTGCAACATTGGGGGTAAAATGTACCTCAACTCTAGCCTTAAAATTAAGTTAAGAAGGCCCTCCCTGGTGGTACAACCAGTTGGGATGAAGCACTGCAAGCTCGCCGCAGCCACTTCAGTGCAAGTTCGATCCCAGACCCAGAGATGACCCACGTGGCGCGGCAGACCTCTCCTGACCTGCCCGCTGCTCTTCTCACAGTGTACTTCATCGATCTGCCTGTTCTGTTCCTCACTCTGTCTCTGGTGAGTCCTCTCATCACTCCTGCACCTCTGGCCTGTACCCCAGTTCTGTATGAAAAAAATATTAAAAAAATAATAAAAGATTTAAAAAAAACTAATTCAAAATGAATCATAAATCTGAATGTAAAAGATAAAACTATAAATCTGCTAGAAGAAAGCATGGGAGACTATTCTGTGACCCTAAAGGCAATGGCTTATTAGTGAAGGCACAGTAAGCAATGTGCCTTGATTTTTGATAAATAGTCATTAAAACCTTTAAAATTGTTAAAAAAAAAAAAGGCAAGTCATAGATCAGGAACAAATTGTGTGTGTGTGTGTGTGTGTGTGTGTGTGTGTGTGTGTATGTAGGTGGAAAAAAAATGCTGCCCAGAAAACTGTCATCAATAGCAATACCAGCAACTCAACTCAACTCTAAAATAAAGTTGAGCAAAAGATTTAAGCAAATCTTCCCCAAAGAACATCTTTGAACAGCCAACAAGCACATGAAAAGCTGCTCAACATTAGTCATCAGGGAAATGAAAACCACAGTGAGGAGTCATTTTATAGCCACTACAATAGCTTTAATTACAGCAATATTGGTGATAAGAATGTAAAACTGGGCAATGATCTTGGAAAACAGTCTGGTAGTTTCATATGGCATTACTCATAATGTGTGTAATATATTATCCTAAAGATTAGCAGCTTAAACCTAGACATTTATTATGTCACAAGTGTGGGGGTCAGCAATCTGGGTGTAGATTCTGAGATGGATCAGTTGAGCTGTGGTTGGACCTATGATCTTTCAAATGCTTCATCTGGGACAGATCAATTCCAAAGGCACCCTTGTGGCAAGACTCCGTTCCCCACTGGCCTGGGATTTTCATGAGTTAGTGGACTTCCACGGAAGGTGGCTCCCTTCTTAGTGAGGGCCTGAGAGTACAAAGCTAAGCCGGAAGCCAGGTGTTTCTATGATCCAATCTCTTAGTTGGCACACCATCACCATTACCAAATTCTACTTATGTAGAAACAAGGTCCCTGTGTGAAACCAGGTCCCTGCGTAGCCCACAGCAAGGAGAGAACCATTCAAGGGTGTGGGGACCAGGGACCCAGGGCATTGGGAACCCACCAAGAGGCTGCCCCACCACACCTATTAGAGACACATCTATCTGACAGCATGGTAGTCACCCCCATAGTTACTACTTTTGTCCTTAAATAAGCCTTATACAAAAATACTCAAGGTTCTTCCTGCAAAATAATCCCAAACTGGAAACAACCAAGTATCTAATAACAGAGGGATTTGATAAAGGATATAAATTTTCGAGTATGAGGTAGATGAATGACTGAGTTTTGGGATGCAAAGTACAGCACAGCACTACAGCTAGAAACAATGTATCAGGAAGAAACTGCCAATACTTGCCGCATACACACAAACAGATAAAAGATATTTCACTGATGAATTCTAAATGATTTACAAACAAATGAAAAGATGCTTAGGTCCAATACTAATTTGGGAAATGCACATTTAAAAAACAATTGCAGGGGCCCTCCCTGGTGGCGCAGCGGGTTAAAGCGCAGCACTGAGAATCTAAAGCCACTTCCGCATGAGTTCGATTCCCGCCTGCCCCGGAGGTGACCACATGGCGCGGCAGACCTCTCCTGACCCGCCCGCTGCTCCCCTCAGCAGTGTACTTCGTCGATCTGCCTGTTCTGCTCCCCACTCTGTCTCTGGTGAAGCCTCTCACCTCCCCTGAGCTTCTGGCCTGTACCCCAGTTCTGTATCACAAATAAATAAAAATTTTAAAAAAAAAAAAAAAAACAATTGCAGCCCCTTTCAAGCTCATTTCATGCTGAGTAACCTCAAATGTTGGCAAGAATGAGGAACAACCAGAACTCCAGACTGGTGGGGCGGGAAGGTATCTCATCAGTCCTCCAACCTCCATTTTCTCAGCACTGGCCACTCCCCATCCCAGAGGCGTCCTAATGAAGACGGACGCATGTGCCCAGTAGCCAGCCAGAATCAGACTGTGCAAGAGGCACCAGTGCCTCCTCAGTCTTCTTCGGGCTCCTCATCACCCCGCTGTCCAGTGTCTGAGACAATAAGCCTGGCTTTGCATCAGCGGTTCTCAAAGTGGTCGCGAGGGCATGTTCACGCCGCCCCAGGCCTCTGTGTTAGAAACTCTGGGTAGAACCCAGTAGTCTGTTCAGTAAGGCTCCAGAGAGTGCTCCTGTTTGAGAACCACTGTGCTTGAGGAAGTGGCTCAGCTCTCCACCTCCCCTGCCCCCAGAGGCTCTTCCGGCCTCCTGGAGAGAGTGCATGTCCTCCCACTGGAGAAAATTCACTTCCAGAGGCCAGCAGCAGTCTCCTTCCAGGGGTCGCTGCCATCTGGAGGGACTGTGCAGTGGGTGAGGATCTAGGTTGGGATCGGACTGTATACGCTCAGCGTGTTTGCTCTGCTCTGTGCCAGCTTCATGAGCTCTGCTAGGAGTGTTTTTGGCAAAATGAACATGAGAACACATTCTTAAGAAGCCTAGCCCCAGAGGACTTTCAGATGAGCTATGAAACAGAAAGCCACTAACCTTTTTGTCTCTGCAGCCAGGAGGTTTTCATTTCTCCCGCCTTGCAGAATAATTCCTTGCCTCAGCCGTCTGGTACTTCCAGGGCTGAAAGGGGGCGGGCAGCAGGCATTTCTGAGTCCACGTCTATGGGTCTGGAGAAATGCCTGCTCATCTCCAAGCTCACAGAATGTGAGTGAGAAAAAGCGGGTTCCAAGGCCAGCCTGGTAAACCTCTCCGAGCTGCATTCATTGTTTTCCATTTCAATCTAGCCCTCCAACCCCATTGCAGAGCACTTTTTATGTGAATCATTCACTTTGAAAGAAAGCTACCAACCCAACAGGGACACATGCCCCAGGACCTAAAGGTTGATGGCTTCCACGTGGAGCCTTTTGGGGAGCAAGAAGAAAGACTGTGTCCTGGCATGTTGCGTCATCCACCACATGGGGCACAGGCACCTGACCCTTAATATATACAGACACTCCTCTTCCAGAAAAGCAATGCCAAATGCATGTGGGAAAAGGTGTATTCAATTATAAGGCACAGCATTCTCTATGGTGGGCAGGACAGCAGCCTGGTGGTTCTGGAAGTGAGATGTTGTAGGGACAATCTACTGGCTTTGGTGTCTCCTGAACTTGGGTTTGGTCTCGGGTATGCCCTCATGATGGATGTGTGGCCCCACGATGGTCACTGAAGCTTGGTGCCTTCTCTAGCTGTCCCATCAGGCTGGAGAAGCAGCCAAGGGGATTTCTGTGAGGATTAAAAGAGCTACACAGAGAGCTCTTTGCATAGTACCTGCTCAATAAACACTGCTGATATTGGTGGCAAGAACTGAGACTAACAAAAGGGTCAGACTGGGTTCTCAATGGCTGAGTAAGTACAGGTGTAAAGACCTTTCCTAAGGAACTTGTGCAGTGCTCGATGGGAAATGTTACCAGTCAAAGTTTATTTGGAGGATGTCTTGGTGTGAAGGACCCTGGACTAGGGGAAAAGAGGGATGAAACTGGACTTGTTCAGGCTGCTCCTAGTGAACTAGCACAGAGCGGGGAGAAATGGTGGATTAAACACTGACAACCTGATGAAATGAGAAGAGAACAGAACAGAGAAGAGGAGAGAAACTGTCAGGGGGAGCGTGCCCTGGGAAGGCGGAGAGCTGAGGGAGCAGGCAGTGTTACCAGAAGAGAGCATGTGCGCTAGGAGAGGGACTAAGTCAGCCCCATCCTACAGGAGAAAAACCAAGAAAATGGAAGAAAATCGCCTTCATATTTACAGCAGAGGAGGAGCTCAGGTGGGGCTCCTCCTCTGAGGAGGGCAGGCTGGCAGCCTAGGGCACTTCCATGGACTCGGGTACCAACATCCTCCTCAAGGTACTGGCAGGGGTGTGAGAAGAAACACCAATCACAAATGAGTCAGCCTTAATCAGAGACGGAACCACACCTGGCCTAGCCCCTGCTTGAGGAAGGTTGGCACCACTTACTGAGGCCCAGTGTGGGGGCCCATCAGTGGCTGAGGGGTTCCAGGTCCTCTTTTGACAGCTGGCATAATAAAAATAGTAACAACACAGTTATAGTTAAGGTATATGGTGTATTTGGCATGTGCAGGTACTGTTTGAAGCCCTTACAGAGGAGGAAACTGAGGCTTTGAGGAAACTGAGGCTTTGAGAAGAAAGAAAGATAGAACTCCCCTAGAATATACAGTGGCAGCCTCCTGGCTCTAGCCCAGCATGTTTGACTCCTAGGTCTGTTTTCTTAGCCTCTCTCTGACTGCCCCATGGGAGACACAGAAAGCAGGGCATAGTAGAGGAAGGCCTACCAATTTCAGGAAACTCAGTTTAGACCTGGGATTGCCTTACTCTCAAAATGAAGAAAACTTAAGTGTTTGGCTACTTATACCAATAAAACAATGATTGTGTAGAAGATCAAGTGAAGCAGGATTCTAGAACCTTCCTTTAAGCTTTAAAATATGCCACAAAGATAAAGCCCAGATTCTACTTTCTCCCTCATAAACATGAGGTTTCATAATGTGAAGTTAGCTAGGCTTCTCGGTCTAATACTAAAGTGCTGTCCCAATACTCTGAATGTCAACTGTTTCTTGAATTTACCAATATGCTGCCATGCAATGTTTGATCCTAAGTCTTATATTTCAGGCTGGAGTCCCCAACCCGGTCTCTGGTGATGGAGGCCCCAAAAGGAGTAGAAATAAATGCAGAAGCTGGCAATATGGAAGCCACCTGCAGGACGGAGCTGAGACTGGAATCCAAAGACGGGGAGGTAGGGAGGAGGAGTACCAGCAAGCCAACAAAATCCCCCCAACCCTGCACTCAGTCCTACACTGTGGCAACAAAAGGAACCAACCAGAAGGTTTTATTTCTGAAAGAGATATGTTCGACAACATCATTATCAGCCAAAACCACAACACGGAGAGGTTTTCCATCATTATTTGTACAGTCTCTGGCAGGTGTAGAATTCTACGTGCTGCTGTAAAATGCAAGGCTATTTCCAAATTCTCTTATGACACCTTAAAATAAGACTTAGGGGGACAGCATAAGTAAGATGTATGGCACACACATCTGACTACAGATAAACTTAATTTACTTGTAGTGATTTTAAAAGTTTATGTTGCATGTTTCTATTTTCATTGAGAATGGAGTGTCAAATTCAGCCTCTATTGCAAATGTGAACTTAAAATTGGGGAAACTAGTCAACACGAGGATGAAAGATCACAGATGTATTAGTGTTCTTGCCCCAGTATAATCTCACTCGGGTGTGCATAATTAGCTGCTTGTGTTTTTACAACTCTTGTAAGTCAGGTCCCCAAAGAAAATAGGATTCAACTGCAAACATTTTTTAATGCCTTCATCCTGCATGTCAGCAAACTTTCCGATTTAAATTTCTTTTTTAAAGGAAAAGCGTGATTTTATTTTTAAAGCAAAGCACTGTTCCATCCTTCATATCTATACAAAAGTTACCCATCTCCACTGGCCAGAAGCCGGATTTGGCATTTCAGATTTGGCATCTGCTCTATTTTTTTTTTATTTAAACAAGGCAGTTCAGAGCACTGAGTAATGAGAATTGTTTCCTCCAAAAGCCACGCACTTCCAACCGCACCCAGTTAAAAATGGTGGCTCCATCACCATTGCAGTTTACAACTATCAAACCCTTGACTCTAGAGGAATGGATTATAATCACAAACATCATTTAAGAGAAGAGCATGCTGCCTATTCTGGAAAACTTGCCCTCCACACAGGCATATCTATGGTATGAATCCCATACTCGAGATTTCCAGAGAAAGTTCTAGGGCTCTATTCACCCGCACATAATCTACCTTTGATGAACGCTAATCTAGACAGTATAGAACATAAGCCTCCTCCACAGGCGTGGGGACTTCATCTGTCTTGTCTGGCCCAGGAACCCCAGTCCAGGCATGATGAACACACAGTGGGTGCTCTCACAGTTGATGTTCATCATCCAGCTACTGTTTGGGGACGTCAGACAAGTGAGTGGCAGCCTCTAACTGGTCCTTTCCTTTCTGTTCATGCTTTCCAGATTAAGTTAGATGCTGCAAGAATCAAACTACCTAGGCTGCCTCACGGATCCTACACAGCTGCAGGGACCAGGCAGAAGGTCTTTGAGATCTGCGTCTGCTCCAATGGGAGGCTGTTCCTGTCCCAGGCAGGAACCGGTTCCACTTGTCAGATAAACACAAACGTCTGCCTTTGAAAGACTGTCCATGGGGACATGGACGGCAGCATAAAAGCCTTTTCCTGGCTTCAGACACTGGCTGCCAGCTATTTTTACTAGAAACACAGAAGGCCTATCAAAGCCTTGTGTGTGTGTGTGTGTGTGTGTGTGTGGCTTGTGTGTACGTGTGAATGTGGGGCGTGGCTGGGTGGATATAAATATATATAAATATATATAAATAAATATATATATATCCTCTGTATAAAATGAGGTTTCAGTACAAAAGGAACCATGGGTGACCCTGTGATATCCTCCCTCATCTCCATCCCCTGCCCCAACCACCATGCACACGATCGACTCTCTCTCCACACGATTCTCCTAGATACCCCACTAGCCCTTCCGAACCCCTCATTGCTCTGGACACTTTGGACTGTTCACCTGTAGGGTTGAATGATGGCCTGCCTTCTCCTTCACTGCCATCGCAGGTCGTGATGGCGGGAATCTCCGAGTACCCTCGTGCGCGGCAACCTGGCCCATCCAAACAGATCTTTGGGTTCCCTTTTATCTTGAGGGAAGCAACCCACTTCTCCCTCTTCCAGTGAAGGCTGGGACCGAGCAATAGAAGTCACCCAGAGAAACTCAAAACAGCCAAATGTAAAGAGGCTTCTGAGTTGGGTGAATGAGATAGATGGATTTTAGCCAAGTGGAGTGGCTCATCCAACTCCTGCTCTCTTGCTTCCTTCAAACTCACATATTATCCCTCAGTCCAAATAGGAGCTGTAAATCAGCACAAAATAGCACTGCAGCTGCTCCTCGGTCGGCTGGAAGCAGCTCAGCGGCCCGTCAGGCAGACAGTAAATGGGTGGTATGTCTCTGTTTAAAGGGAAAAAATGGCTCAAAATCTGTTATGTCCTCATTTCTGACTTTATCTAACAGAGTCCAACCAAAATGATCGGTCCATCAAAATCTCTTCAGAGTGCTACCCCATCCTCAGAGAAGCCCTTAGTGATGGTGTTGAGTTCAGATGAGCAGAGGGGATTAATTCCAGTAATATGTTACCTGGAGAGGGGAAGTAATTTATAGACACTCCTTTTGTTTTTACAGGCAAAGTTTGGCCCTTAAATCTCCTTATCACTCTTTTTCAGTATTGGGGTATTCACTTTCCTAAAACCCCCCCTTATGTTTTCCCCAAAGAGAGAGAGCCAAAAGCCACTAATTTAAAATCTGACATAACCCCAGAAGTGCTAGCTAAGAATTAACATCAATGGAGTCAAACTAATCAGATCCTGTGTCCAGCAGCATCCATACCCCAGAGAGGAGAGCAACTTCGCATTCCCGCCATCACGACCTCTCGCCCCACCACCTTCATCATCACTTTCAGGGTCACCCTGGCCAGCTCTTGTGCTGGGACGGGGGATTACACCATCTCTGTTCAAAGAGGGGGAACCGTGCCTATGCCTTAAGTCAATGCACTCAGCAAGGAGAAGCACATCCTATTTATCTTGGTGTTACCTGTAGTTTATTTTGGGTAATTACAGGGGAATGGGTTAGTAATGTCCGGCATGTCTGCAAAGCCTATTGAAAACCATGTGGCTGATGACTGGCCTCTGTGGAGCCCAGACTGGACACGACATTGGCTTGGATGCCATTTGGGCAGGGTGGCCCCATGATCCTAATTGAAGTAGTGTGCGAAGGCCTGAATGGCATTTGTTTCTTCCTCCACTAGTTTCTCATTTTTGTTACTTCCCAAGCAGGGGGAAATGGCAATGGGAGATGAGTAAGAGCTTCCAGATGGTTGCCAACCAAGCAACAGGCTGAGGTTTGCACACCAGGATGGAGAAGCAAGTGTATGTTGCTTAGTCAAGTGACTAAGGGATGAGGGGTGGTGTCTAACCTGGCCAGTGGCCCCGCTGACTTCTAGAACCCAGGCTCTCTGTAGTCACTTGTGCTCTATGTCCTATGTAGAACTGGGTGGTTCAAGGGCAAGATCCTAAGATCAATTTGCTGGTCCCGCTAGGGTCTAACGAGGATAATCAAAGATGTCAAGTCACTCTGGATTGGCGTCATTTAGATCCTGTAGGGCCTTGCTGGTAGAAAGCACGTGGACCACACAACAGGCTCTGTCAATCCAAGAATGTCCCTCCTTGGCTCCTGGGAGAGCCTGCCCATAATTAGCCAGAGAAAGAGGATAACTGTGTGATCCACTGTGGCTAAATCCCTTAAGGCAAAGTTTTTTTAAGCAGACAGATCATTTCTGCATTTTACCATCTCAATACACAACATATAGATGATAAGACAAGGAAATGTTCCCTGAACCTTTGTCCTCTGATTTTGTTCTAATTGTTACATTAAAGGCTGAGATCAGCCTCCTTGGGAATTTTTTATGTCAATAAAAAGGACTTATAGGATCCTACTTCTAAAACTTACTTCTAAAAGTAATTGGATCATCATTAGAAAGAAAATAATACCCACCACCATGAATAGAAGCCAACCACCCAAGGGAATAGACACTCTGATTTTTATTTGTGTGATTATGTCAGATAGTATGCAGGAAATTCAGCATGGATCAAATTATGTATTTCAGTTCAGGCTTTAAAATTTCAGTTTAATACATTCTAAATTCTTCAATGTAAAGCTTTTCCCCCTATCTTCCTCCAAGTAAATTATTTGTCCATGGTCATAAGAGAAAGTTTTACGTGAATTCTGGGGAAAAAAAAATAATATATCTTTTGCATTAAAATCTGGTAACCATTAATTTTAAAAAATGAGATTCTTTCGTTCTCAAGATTTATATGTAATATCTTCTAGACAGCCACATCTTTCAGGACATCAAGCAGCTGTGATGTGACAAAGCACTCAAATGAATCTCCTGTGTTCTAGAATTTCTAGGGTGTTACTATTCAGCAGATTCTTATCAATTAAAACTTGATCTCCAAATATATGTTTAGAACTGAGTTCTATTTGTTATTTGCTCAATAAGTCATAGAAGTTCTGACTTGGGAATGTACTGGAGTTTTTCAAAAAGTGTTCCTGGTGCCATATATGTAGGTGATGCCAGGTAGTATGAGGCTTTTTGATTGTTACATTACAAAGGGAAAGACCTTACAGATTTGTATTGCCTTTGAACTCCTTGAAGGTCAGTTCTCCTTTGGAAAATTTTCATTGTCTGCACAGCAACCATAGACCAAAGATGGCTCAAGGTTTGACCCTAGCACAGGGGTCGGGAGGCGCTGCGGGTCCCTAGATCAAATCTGGCTCCCCACCTGTCTTTGTCACTGATGTTGCCCAGATGTATGGCCATCCCCTACCCCCTCCACTTCATGGTGTCTGTGGCTGACCAAACCCTCCAACAGAAGAGTTCAGTGGTTATACCAGACACCTTGTGATCTACAAAGCATGAAACCCTTACTATTTGGCCCTTTTGCAGAAAAAGTTTGCCAACTCCTGAGGTTGAGGTGAAGCATGGGATATGACTGATGCAGTGCAGAGGACCAAACCTCACACAGCACGGCATGAGACACCAGCCCCACATGTGCTTGAGAATAGAGATACTGGTTACAAAAGGCAAGCTGATGGGCGGGTGAAAGGGATTGCTTTGTCTGAGAAACACAGGCATGTGGGATTCTTGGGGACAGATTAGGGGAAGGCTAAGTGGAAAAGGAAAGCTGTGATCCTCTAGGGCTTTTTCCAGAAGATCCTGACTTCTTAAATGATTTCCATAGTCAGCATCACATCTAACAGGCCTAGTGTTTCAATCTAGAATCTCTTTGCTCAAGAGACCATTTCTGCTAGCCTCGAGAGTTCCACCCCACCTTCACCTAGTCCAGAAAGATGCCTAGCCCACAGGGCTCCTGGGAATGCATCTGACTCACGGGTCTGTCTGGCGCCCATCACCCCAGTCACTGGTACTTGCACTGGCCTTACTGGTCCTAAGACTACACCAGGAGTGAAGGGCTGGTAGGACCAATAAATGATTAGGAATATTGGACAAAGCATCTTAAAGCACATAGGGAGGAAAACTATAATAAGACTCATGAAGCATTTCCTGGGAAGATTGAGATTAATGTCAATTTGATTTTATTTCCAAGGATCTGGGTCTTTGTTCTTTGGTAAAGGAAACACAGAAAGCCCTTGTTTTAATTCAGCCATCTGACTCTGTGTGATAAGATCAGTTCTTAGCTGGCTCTTGTCCCTAACAGGCACCCCCCTGCTAACCCAGGGCTTGACATTCATATTCAATATCATTAAAATCACATCAGATGTGCATGAGTCTTTGTAAGGATGAGTATTCACATTAGGAAGGAGAAGTTGGGATTTTTATCAGCTTTCTTTCTTTTTTTTTTTTTAAACAATCACTATTGACCAGACCTTAACCAGCATCTCTTGCAACAGCAGTCTCACCCTAGAGCGAGGTGAGAATACATGATTATTTATTTTAGGCAAAGGTATCATGACATTTGGACCAAAGAGGTCAACAGATCCCTGGAAGCACCTTTTATTTCACCATGAAAGGTGAAGATCTCATTCAAGTGAACTGTAAACAAGATCCTTTTTCCCAAACCAGGAAATTTTAGACACAAAAACCACTAGCCGAGTAGCTCCTGAAAGGACCCATGTGTTGCATCTCAGCAGCAAGTGGGCAAACAGTTACCCTGAAAGATCTAACCTTACAAAATAGGCGTTTGATCTCAAAGGTAAACTGTCTCTTTTGGTCTTTCCTCACTTTCTCCTCCACCAGTTCCAGCCCCTTTCCATTAGAAGAGTGAAAAGGGCTGTCTTCAGGATGGCAGATACATCTCTTTCTTTGCAGACATCACTATTCAAAATCATACAGCTGCCTCTGCAGGTCTTCACAAAGCTACCCCACTGAGAAGGACAAGCTCTCTGAAACCCACCGCTTCATTAGCACAGAGCACCACACATGTCAGCACTTCCAAAAGCAATGCGCTTTCTAGGGTTTTCAAAGGCTTACTTCCTAGTGGGGGTTCTTGAAATTTCTCAAGGCAGGTTTGAATGCAAAGGGAAATAATTACGATTGGGTGGTCCCTGTTGTGCACACATTTAATGAAAATATCCCATTTGGAGAGACCTGCTAACATATGCCATTCTGTTTGGGTTGACCTTCCCTCCCGGCCCCCTTCCTTTGCTATATATTGACAAAGAAGGAAATTAGCATCTTCCTTGGAAAAAGAAAAGTTCAAGAATATATAAGCCCTGTACACAACAGAAATGGGTATCATCACAGTACTGATATTATTAAATCCATCAATAAACAGTCTCAAACATTCAACAGCAAAGCTAACTGCTAATGCACAACCTTCTGCTGGCAAGTGGTTTTGCCAGTGCTGCTTCTATAGGATTTCTGATTGAAACAGAAAAAAGGGAAAAGCTGCTTTAGGCAAAAAGCACATATAGAGTCCAAGTCACCTTTCATCAGAGGGAGACTGAGCTGAGACCCAAATGCAGACTTCCTTACTTGGGGATAAAGGGATTTTGCTTCATGGCTGAGTACTAGCTAAGATCAGTTCAATAAGCAGAAGTGAGAAGGAAGCATTTGTTTCCCCTAAAATCCACTCTGCATTCCTGGGGTTATCTAGCCATTCCTGTTTATCCAAAGTCTTGACAGTCTGTCTCTACACTTTGGCTATTTTTATGGAACCAGAGATAACTCAAATTTCTTAAGCAAGAAATCCCAAGCTGATCAGTGGTTTACTGAGGAGCAGAACAGCAAAGGATTTTTCTGATTGCAAGAAGATGATCTTTGTCAACAAGGAAGATGCTGATATTTCTTTATCCCCGTATTCATTTAATTCATGAGTTTATAATTTGGGGGCGGGGAGGGTCATAGGGTCTTGCCAACGGAGAAAAGTTCTGAACCACAAAATCCCACATAAAACCAAATAAGTTCTCTTGAACCAACACCCTAAGACATGTCAAGAGTTGGAATCTGTTCTCTAATTATAATAATTTTTTACTAACTAGCTAATTAAGCACCTGCTATGTGCTAAACCTGCATTCCTTATTTCATCTTCAAAACAATTCTTTGGATTCAGTCCTATTATAATGCCAATTTACTCATGTAGAAACTGAGTCCTATAGAGGTTAAGACACTTGTGTAAAGTTACCAGTTAGAAAATGACAGAGGTGGCATGTTGATCTCAATGCAGAACTCTGTGCTATCAAGTCACCCACAGATGAGCTATCTTTCAGTTGTTGAGAACTGTCTCTTACCAGTTGAGATGTGTCTCCCTCTTGAGTAGGTGAGGCTGAGAAGGTTTCTCTTATCCATGGCCGCATCCAATACCAAAGTAGAGATCCCTAGTTGGAAATATATAAGGTCTGTTGAATAATGGAATCTAGAACCAAAAGATGTTATTTTTTCCATGTGAGACTCTAAGTCAGGTTTCTTGTCCTTATATATTGAAAGATATATAGGTTGCCAGTCTTATATTTAAGAGAAAACTTTAATATTCAGTGACCCAAATATTAAATTAACAAATTAACACCTCTGCACACCTAGATCTCCTTCCCTTATTTCTCACTTCAAAAGGCAAATGTCTTTTTTTGAGTGGTCTCTGATGCCATTTAGTTATTGTACCTAACTTGTGGCAAAACTCAAGAACCAAATAGAAGTAAACTCATGCTCCATGGCTATCCCTGCCTCCCTGCAAGAACAGAGTAGAAGGATGTACACTAGACATTCATTACCCAAGCTGGCCTTATAGGCCCTCCAGGCTTGAGTCCCACAAATTTACCCAGCAGTCATCACTGATGGAGCACACTTTCCCTATAAGACAATTCTCGCCAAGTGCCCAGGCCGGCACTACAGTTGGAAATGAGACCCACTTGCCAACGCTTGTAGAACCAGTGGTATACTTTACCCTTGACCCTGTTCGATTATACTGGTGTCCTAGATTCACAAACCAGCTTGGTGGCATTCCAACTAAGAAAGGAGAGATGAGTGCATCTGCAGTACCTTACAACTTGGTGTCTTTGGAGCACTTTCATCTTCTCAGCAAAGGGAACAGTATTTGATGTCTATGAGTTAAAGGACCTAAAGTGGCTTTGAAGAATTGACTCAGCCATTGACCGTCTATGGCTGTGCTAAGGTCATACAGTTAAACTGCCCCACCCTGAGCTGAGACACCACAGCAGCAAAGAGGTTGGGGGGGCATCCTTATCTGCTTTTCTTCAACAACAGGTACCTGAAACATGGGTGGTAGTGTGAACTGAGCTCACCAGCTTATCAATCCCAACAGGTTGAGCCCCCAGGGCCAGCCAGGCTTATGCGTCCTCATTTCACTCAAACTTCCCACACACCTTAGTAAAGGTGATTAGATAAAAAAAAAAAAAAAAAAAGTGTCAAATACCCTGATTTAGAATAAATCACTCATAGATTTTCTTCTAGTGATGTGTTTATCCCAATCAGGAGTGGGTGCCTTTTAAGGACTGTCCATGACTAAATGACCAGGACCAGAAATCAGGTTTCTTGATAGAAAAAGGAAATCCTTCTGGCAAAGTAGAAAAAAATGGGCAAATCTGAACTTGGAGTGAACACATGATTGGCCTAATTTGCATCCAATGTTTGGGTGAGGGGGGAATAGAGTTTCCCATTTTGTTAACTACTTCCCAAGTCAAGTTTTTCCTCTTTGAGGCCTTGCAGCAACAGAAACATGCCTCTTAAGGAGATCACGTGGGAGAAGGGCGAGCACACCCATTCTGTGCTGGCCAGGTGCTCTGCTGGAGAAGTCAGAGTCCAGGGCTTTGAACAAAAAATTACAAGGTCGTAGAAGCCCCATATGTTTGGGGGGTTTGAAAAAGGAATCCCATTCCATAAAGTAGTTGAGTTCAGCCTTTGGGTTATTTTTGGTTTGGTTTAGTTTTTCTCCAAGTTTGGTATGATATGAGAAGAACTTTTTAATTTGGTTTCATTTTGAATAACATCAATCCTTGCACACTCTATGCAAAAATTTTGTAAGCATTGCAATAATGCTATGAATTACAAGAACTATTTTAACTTTATTACACTTTCTGTATAAAAAAAATTTGTATTTAATATTATTTCAACTGCAGTCTTGTAAAATATATTAATAAAAATAATGATTGGTAAGAAGGAAAGTGCCCTCGTCCACTTCTTTAGGGAATTGCTCCTTCACATTTGATAAGTTGCTCATGGGCTCTACCTCAGGAATAGATATTCTGATTAAATTCTCTTCTCTTCAGTCAATGGCCTAATATGTAGGGCTCTCGGGAAGAGATTCACATAGTCTCACTTATACATATATATATATATATATATATTTATTTATTTATTTATTTATACGTGTATATATATACATATGTATGCATGTATATGTGTGTATATATATACATATATATACATACATATATATACACATACATATATATATATATATATATATAAGAGCTTATTATAAACGATAATGCAGGACCTAGAATTGGAGGATCTCCAGGATTGAGAGGTCAAAGCAGCCATCTGTATGGTTCTCCTAAGGACCCCTGCCAATCCCTTCTATCATACTCTTCTACCATTTACCACTAAATTAAGAATTGCCAATCTGGCCCCTATTGGGTACAACCTTTTCAGGCAGGCTACTTAGCATTCCTAGGCAGCCAATGCTGAGGCACCTTCAAGCCTGGGGTCTATCCCTGGTTCAGTCCATTTTCATCCTTTCTAAATAATAGCCTAGTGCTACTCCCCTCCCCTCGATGGGGCCATCATGCAGTCAGTCATTCACGGGAGAAGATACCACAGGGAGCACTACATATGGGCCCCCACTTCCAGTGTCTTGCCTCCTGCTCTTCCACGGGGCCAAGGCTTTGCAGTATGACTGCACCCCTGAAAATGCCCTTCCCTGTGGGGGCTCCCACCCAGGGTGCCACCCTTTAAGATCCCATTCGCTTCTCACTTCTCTCCATCACATTGACTTTGATTCTCCCAATAATTTGTTCTAATTTCTTTTAAAATCCTACATCTTCCCAAGCTTTACCTATTTACCTATCCAACTAAGACCCTAATGTGCTTATGTTCAGTTTTAAAGCATACAACAGACTCATAACTTATCCAAATTGTAACTCATCATATGTTATAAGGGAGATGAGGTATGTCCTCACCTAGAAAACTGAAGACAAATTTTATATACCTAATAAATGTTAGAACCAGTGTCCATTTCCAAATGTGTATCCATTACAGGCTACAGCTCATCCAGTTTAGTTGTTAACTACAAAAGGCACTAGAGCAATAGGATAGACTCTTCAAAGTAAAAGGCTATAATCCAAACATTAGGCAGGCATGTCTCCAAAGATGTGGTGATTTTATTGTCTGGTTCCTTTGGCAGGAAGAGGAGAATTTCCCCAAAAAAATCTAAATTGGCGAGAAACCACCATTCAAAAGACCTGTTCCATGGGTGGGGAAAATGTGGCTACACATATCATATTGCTAAAATGATAAACTCTAATGAGAGGGAGAGGCTGTCACTGATGTGTCAAACTCACCCACACCACTGTTGATAAAAGGTTAGAACGCAGACAAAATACCAGAAGGCCAAAAAGAGCACTAAGCTTTTTCTTCCAATGTTTTAAAGGAAAAATTGGTACAGATTCACATCTGAATTTCTTCTTATCTTAATTTTTTTTAAATATATAATTGCATGGCCCACATAATAATCAGCCCCCCTTTACCTGGGAAAAGAGCCCACAATACAGAGGTGGGGATGGGAGCAGAGGACAAGGATTACTTGTGAGTAACATGTATGAATCAGCTTCATCAACTAAGTCCAATGACAGTTTGACTTTAGCTTGAAAATACCAAATTTTAATCATCCTCCACTAAGCCAAATATTTGCAGTTGAAGGTCAACTTACTGCTCTCAGAAAAGACCCACCTGAGTAGCCAGCCCAAGTCCAGCCAGGTGACTAAACATGACTCCAGAATACCTGGGAGGTAACTCAGGGGCTCTCACATCAGAGTTTAAAATGGGTACCACATTGTGTGATTAGACTTTTCCAGATTAGATTTTAGTAGGAACCAAGCATTCTGAAATGGTAGGGTTTAGGATAATAGATGTTAAATTGAAAGCAGTAACTATAACTCTAAATCAACCACTTTCATCTACCAAAATAGCAAGTAAAGATTTGTGTTTAACATGTCAGGCAAAAACTAGGTCAGGAAACTTGGAGAGAAAGGAAAATCAGTATTTTAAAGTATACATTTTGGTGAAAAACATTAGGAGAGATGCAGATTAACCAAAAGTCCCTGTCCCATTGACTCCCCATGTTTAATCCACTATCCCAAGAAGGCAAGAAGCAGCATAAATCAAAAATTCAAAACTTTAGATTAGAAGAATAAGCAAAAAATTGACAAACTTGCAGTGTGACATTTTTAATCACTCTACTTAATAACTTAGAAATAAACAAGACATGAAAATCAGACACACCCACAACCCACTGCATATGATATCATGAAAGAAAGTTTTCTTTGACTTAAGTGCATAAAAAAGACATATGACCTCAAAGTAGAAAAGTGAAAAATTTTCCTCGCAGGATTATCTCTGAAAGTAGAAACTGATGGTAAATTTTATGTCCACATAAAATCCCAGGATATTCACTATCAAAAAATGCTTTTCTTAAACTAATGTCACCTCAATAAGAAGTCATTTTTTAAAAAATGAAACACACTTCTCTCATTAATTGATGATGATGATGATAGAACTTGACCTATTTAAAGAACAGTAGTTAATGATGAAGGAACAAATATATATAAAGCTTTTAAAAATAATAAAAACACACTACAAATTATGCAATATGACCAAAGTCATCTTCTGACACAATAAACCATTTAAATTTGTCAACAGAAAAATAGATAAACAAAAAGTTTAAGGTAAGATTCCTGAACATTTAATAAAAGAGCAAAACTCAACAATAAAAATAAAATGGTATAAATAAGTCTAAATTTACATCTTAAAGTTAAAAACAAAAATGTAAAACAAGTAAATTGCTGAAAAAATCTAGTAACAAAAATAAGCTAAAAGACAACTTTTAAAATTAACAGTGAATTATAGAAATATTATTTCTAATAAAAATAGAAAACTTCAAGAAAAAATGTATTTTTAAAAAGTTCACAAAAATTAACAGTAAAAAGAAATACTTGTCTCTTAAGCAAAATAGCTTAATTTAGAACATTCTTTCCAAGGTATACCTCTTTTGAAATGATAATTTCAAAAGAGGTATATTTCAAAATATCTATTTTCTACATAGTATATATGGAAACATCTATCCACCAATTTATGATATTATCAAAAGTATATGCTATACTATAGCCTATACTAAGTTTAAAAAAGAGAGAGAGAGATAAATATAAACTGAAGAAGCCAACTCTAAGCCATGCAGACTAAAAAACTAAATTGATAAAAAAAAATTTCAGTTTCCTTCAAGTTAATTACACACTTAACAAAATTTCAATAAAAGTTCAAAAGAAACTTTCTGGAAGTAAACAAAACAATTATAAAATTTACCAGGCAAAATAAAATAGAAAGGATAAAATAGTAAGGGATATTCCCTATAAAAAGGTACTAAAATTATATAAACCTAATGAACTATTTAAAAGTACAAAATAGCAATAATAAAGACAATAAAAAGAAAAGGAGAAATACGGATCAATTGTATTCCTGTTATTGCTCTGCTAGGAAAACACCCTTCTTTCTGCATCTGACATCTCCCTGTGCACCCACAAAGATTGGCTAATATGTCTCCCTTACACGAAGGTTTCTCTGACTTATCTTCTGATGGCTCACAAAGCCCATCTCTGTAAACTCAGGGACTCCTAGACACACCTCTATCATGGCTTATGTTGTACTGGATCACCATTGATTCTTCTGCTTTCCCTATGAGAACGTGAGGCCAGGAACAGAAGCTTCCTTCTGGTTTCACTATCTAAGCCCAGTAGAGAGCCTGCTGCCTACATAGAAATGGTTGCACAGACCAGAAAACCCAGAAACACGCTCAAGTGATTTTAAATAATGTGTCTTGTATCAATGTACCAATTCAATCTACTACTTATTCTTAACCACCCCAAACGGAAAGCAAGAACAAGATGGTAGTCTCTGGACTCATTCCAATCACGAATAGGCAATCTAGTCAAGAAAACCAATGGCCACAGAAATGAAAGCGCAGTGGGGTATACATCAGCCAGAGAGGCAGCTGGCTGGAATAGCATGGCAAATCAATGGCGCAGGTAGAAGGGACCTGCATCACACCTCATACTCCACACAACAGACCAGAGTTCCAAATATTTGTTCACCTTGTATCCACAGAATACTTATTTTCTTATAAATAGATAGC